TACGGATGGTGTCTAGCGACGGCGATGCCGTGATCTATATGCTGTACACGGTGGCATCACGCAGCTGCAGCAATCCGCTGTCTGTGCTCGCTGAAGAGCAATGTAGGCGCAAGTGCGTCAGCGCGGGAAACGCGCACGTAATCTGTGCGGTATATTAGAATGAGAAGGGAAGAGAAATTAGAGCGCAGAGAATCATGGGTGCATGAGGAAATGTAATCGCTCACGTTTGGAGTATCACCCGCTGCTCTCTCATCCTCCCAACGCTGTGTTACTCACATGTAAGGAGGTATTGCACAGGTTTCATATCATATTTTATTATGGTATTATTATCCACTCTCACCTACTCTCACATGCCTACACTCACACAACCAACCACCCACACACACACACACCATGCCCGCATCTGCTTAAGCCGGTACACACACACGTCCTATACGGGCTCATGCGAGCGCGGACGTCGGGATTCTGCCTGTTTTTTTGTGTAGCTTCTCCAGACTACATATATAAATAAATAAATATAATATATAATATATATACACTACACACACACACACACACACACACACACACACACACCAGCTCCACACAGCAGCAGCACAACAAGCACACACACACACACTGCACAACAGCACACAGCACACACACATACACAACGCACAGCTCACACACACACAACGACACACCACCACACACAAAGGACCACAGCACACACACACACGCCACGACGGCACCCTCACCAGGGCACACACACACACAACACACACAGAGGTAGTTGCACACACAGCGACACAACCAACAGACATAATTATATCGTAATATTCGTTCGGGTTCTTTGCTAGATGGGCGTGTAGCGAACTGAGTAATGCCAACGGAAGGCAAAGAGCTTAGATTAGAGAACAGCGTTTCCATTTATTAATTAAAGCAGATTATTGACGACTATCTTAAGCTAGCTCTCATTAATAAGCATAATTTACATGGAACGGCACAGCGCGTTCCAAACTGCTTATTCTTTTAATTTCTTAATGTTCTTCACATTAAAGAAACTAGTTTCGAATTGTCTTTTTCATGGACATTTGTTGTCGAAACGAAATTGTTTTATTCCTACCGATTTCCACATCTTATGGCCATATTCCAAGAGCGCTCTATACGCACTATATCACGTATTTCTATACAGCTTATATATATAACCTCTATATTACGCTTAACGTCCCAATTGGCTATTTCACAAATGCAGTTAGAATTCTCCGAATTCCATTTGCTATTCAGCGGAATTCCTGGTGCAATTTCCGTAAATCAATGGACTCCTAATGAGGCGATAGATAGTTGCAACGCCCCCTGTGAGGCAAACAACGGTTTACTGGTGAAATCTACAATGCTTAGCTCGCCGCAGCGACGCTGCCTACGCTGCACATAGCGAAAAATTTCATTCGTATACGTTGACGATATAGATAAATAGAACCCGATAGCAAATACAATATCAATATAAATCAATTCTATTTATAATATTTGCTGCGGAAGCAAGTTTAACTAAGGCGTGTAAAATAACTTTGCGTCGTCATTGGGCGACTATAATCACGTGTTCTCTTGGCGGAAAGAAAGGCGAAAGGGCGCGAAGGGAGGAAGCTATTGGGAGAAGGGCGTTGGCTTGCGCCTATGTACTGTAAGCGAGGCACCCACGCAAGCCTTGGATGCGCAGCGCGCCATCCCCCAATCCCACACACCCACGCAGCCTTGAATGCGCACGCCTCACGCCGCCACCCACAGCGACACACGCAGCGCTTGGACGCGACCGCCGCCCACCCCATCACTGCGAAACGCTCCCACGCAAGCCTTGAGATGCGCACTGCCTGACGGACCCCCACTCACCGCTCCCACGCAGCCTTGGATGCGCACGCCCCACCCCACCCACCGCTCCCACGCAGACTTGGATGCGCACGCCCCACCCCCACCCACCGCTCTCACACTGCTCGTGCGTTTCGTATGCTTTCGGCTGCAGCAGCCGAAACCCAACAACTCGATTCACAACCAACGACACAATGGCGCGGGAAAATGACACTGTTCCCCGTAAATGTCTCCCGCTGCAGTCCCTGACCATAATGTTAGCGTCATCCTAGCGGCCGCGGCCACTTCCGGCTCAAATAAAGCTCTGTGAAATACCGTCGGTCAAACACTGCTTCCGGGTCACGGTGACTTCTGCACGCGTAGCTCCAACGCCGGATGCTGGTCACGGTGACGTCAGCACGCGTAGCTCCAACGCCGGATGCTGGTCACGGTGACGTCAGCACGCGCAGCTCCAACACCGGATGCTGGACTCCGATACCAGTTTTCCGGTCACAGTGCGCTCTTCCGGGTCACGGCCTACAGCACTGTTTCCGGGTCATAGCATCGTCGGCAGCTGGGAGTACGTTGCGGCGGCTCTTCCGCCGTCGCTCCGTCGCCTTTCAGTATCGTCTCGTTGCAGTTCGGCGCCGAACCGTTCCTCGTCACTATGCTTGGAATGTCGATAACTATGTGCTGCTGCTGCTGTTGTTGTTGTTGTTGCTGCTGTTGTTGTTGTTGCTGCTGCTGTTGTTGTTGTTGCTGCTGCTGCTGCTGCTGTTGTTGTTGTTGCTGCTGCTGCTGTTGTTGTTGCTGCTGCTGCTGCTGCTGTTTCCGCAGCGGCACATGCTTCTGCTGTCGTCCGCGCCCCAGCCTCACGCTGCCGCCCTGTCGCCTGCGGTCGAGCCGCCCCGTGGAATGCGACGCGTCGATCGCCATGGCAACGGGAGCGTTGCAGCGAAGCGCGTCTGTTTCCGTTGCCATGCGCATCGCAGGCATGGAGGCAGAGCGACACGCCGAGCTGCAAGAAGACCAGACGAAGGTCACGCGTGTGAAGGACAGAAACTTGCCTCGTTGGTGACATGATTGATGCGGTGTTGACTCAGCGTGAATGTCGTACTGTTGTCGCATTGCGCGCAGTGTCACACTTATGGCATGTTAACATGGAAATGGCGTCACACAATGTTAATGTGAATGTTAGACTGGTCCGCGCTCGACAGTTCCACTCACGTTACACTGACGACCGGTACGGCCTAATACATACGGCCAGGCAAACTGCATGCAGTGCACCTTCGGACACTCAAGATACCACT